ACGCAGTGATGGGTCAGTGGTTACGTCGCGGACGGCCGATTCTAAGGTTGCGGTTCGAATCCCATTGCCTTGGAAGCGCTTTATTCGTAAGATCTATCTCCAACTTCGCTTTGGGAGATTTTGCAGGTGGCATATCCTAAAACAATCCATCGACGCCGGCACGATACCTAAAATCTTACTCTAACAAGATTTTTCTCTATTCATGCTTAGGACTATAAGAAAGAGACCTTAGTAAGAAAGAGATAAAACTGTTCAACCCCGTCACATTTGTTACTGGAAATTGTGTCAATAGCACAGGCTGTTTCTTTTTTTTGCATAGAGCGTTATTATACAGGCAACAGTTATATTTTCCTGTGTCTCATCACTGCGTTCAGAAAAACGCATATAAAAAAGTTATACAGTGTGTATATCCGAAGTATATAGTTTACTCGTATGAGTAAACAAGTACATAGTATGAGAAGTATGTTGTATGTATGCAAGGCTGTTATTTTGTAAAGTCATTTGTCACATAACACTGACAAATAAATGGAACAGACGTAACAGCTACTCGATTTTACTTAACGAACTCATTACCAATAAATTCGCACAAACTTTTGTTGTTCTTGACGGATGAAATCAAGGGTAAGGCGTAAATACACTTCAGAACTTCAAATTTCATCATGTTGTTTATTAAATTGTCATTAACACCAAAAACTAAAATACATATGAGTATATCATATAAGTTCCCTCTAAAGCGACGTAAGCGCGATGTAAAATACAGGTTGCGACTTGTATTGAAAATTTGTTTGTACCACCGCGCCTTTTGTTTATACAATACGTTATTGATCGTTTCGTTATGATAGTTTCTACGAGTATGAAACGGCTAAGCTAAATTCGATTTAGCAGCTTATTATAGCAGCATGTAATTCGGTGTGTTGGGGATTTTTGGTAAGCTTTTACTTATAAATACCACCGACCTCACTGAAGACCGGCGTCAAGTGGAAGTATAATACTTTCGCGTTTCGTCTGGTGAGTAAGGTAGCCGGAGCCCAATTTCCAAAAAGGTTGTCAACGCATCTGCAGACCCTTGGGTGTAGTTAGCAGATGTCCATGGGCGGCGGTATTCACTTAACATCAGGTGAACCGTCTGCTCGTTTGGCAACATTTCACATAAAAAAAAAAATAAACCTTTTTTAATCTTTGTGTTTTTATTTTTATGCTAAATGACGCCTTCGCTTTAGGCCTTATCTACTTTTAAAGCTCCTTGAGTCGCGATGCTCGGGCTTATTGAATTTTCCGTACGCCAAATTCGGGATATGATTAAAATAATATAATAAAAAAAATATTTAATCATTTTATAAAGGAATCCTACATTTGCCATGGTTTAAGGATATTTAAAACACCTAAGAGGTTGCCAGTGCTTTGCACGCCTGAAAAATAAAAGGGGCTCATATTGAAGGCTTTTTTATGTGAGAAAATGACAAGCGACCTGGCGCTTAACCTGATGTTAAATCAGCTGATATTAGACAGCCGCCGCCCATTGACCTTTGCAACACCCGTAGGGTTGCAGATATGTTGCAACCCTTTAACATAGCGGGCCCCGGCTACCTCGCTCACCAGACGAAACGCAGAAGTATAACACTCACTCTCCTCGCTGGTCCTGTATGAGGTTGTGCTACTTACCCCGACGGCCCTGCCCATTCGTGCAACAGCGAAGACTTACGTGGCCCTACCACAGTCAAATCTAGATCTTCTGAGCAGTACTAAATATCCTTAGTAATATTATAAAGGCGAAAGTTTGTATGTATGGATGGATGTTTGTTACTGTTTCACGCAAATACTACTGACTGGATTTTAATGAAACTTTATAATAATATAGCTTTATACATCGGAATAACACATAGGCTATAATTTATATACATATTTCCATGTATATCTGTCTTTCTGCCTGAATGTAACGCCTTCAGCCTATTCTACGCAGACGTAGTTGCGGGCAGCAGGTAGTATAAAATCTTACCGTATCTTATTTGTAACTATGATTATAAAATTTACTATTTAAAATAAATTTTACGAACTAAGCAAAATATTTTTTTTATTTCGAACTAAGCTTTGTTAGGTAAGGTTGAATATACATTGTAAGATTTTATTATTTAGTTATAAAATAGGGAATATTTTAACATAATACTGGCTGAATAACATATTGAAGAGAGGTAAAAGAAAACAAAAGAGCGCCGATGGAGAAAACGAGACGGTGACAGTGCTTTAATGAAAACGCAAAGATATTACTAAAATATAAAATAATATAAAATATATTTTTATGAATTGGATGACTGATCTTCATTTTTCGGATCACTCATTCGAATTACTCCCTCGATTGTAATAATATCGTAGACCGAATGACTGTTTTTATGGCTTTGCGATGGCACTTAGTGACGTGCACAGAGATTTCTGACTGGGCGTGTTCTAAAAACCTGGCCAAGTGCGAGTCGGACTCGCGCACGAAGCGTGCCGTACCATTACTTATAAAAACTGCAAAAAAATCTGTTCTGTTATTAGTATTTCTTAAATTTTCAACTTTCCATCACGGTTCCACTGTTACAGCCTGGTGACAGACGGACAAAGAGACAGACAGTGGAGTCTTAATAATAGCGTCCCGGTTTAACCTTTGGGTACGGATCGCTAAAAAATAAACAATTTCTCTAGGTAATTGATGATAACATAATAGGTTACTTAAATGATATCCAAAGTGTCCTTTGTAAAGGCTGTGAAATGTTAAGTTTGTTTTAACTAAATAATATTTTTGATTAACGGAAAACTTAACCGCCTTCAAATATCTCGCTCTGTATTTATTCTATAATGGATTTTCAAGAGTTCCCAATATCCAATACCAATGAAATTATATGGGACCTCATGGGAAGCACCAGCTTTCAAATAAAAAAGAATCGTTCAAAACTGTTCACTCAGTAGAAAGTTCTGAGGTAACAAAAAAAAAAAAAAAAAAAGGCGGTTAAAAAAGTGATAACTGTACTGAAACTCGTTTGTTTAAGTGCTTTGGGGGATGTTTGTATGACGGGTGTGCAAAGCTTTTATGCATGTATGAGGGCTGGCGTATTAGGCCACACATCAATTTTTCATACGTGCTTGTATGAAATTTTTTCGAAGTATAGAAAATGTAATACAGTCCACCTGGCTAGAAAAGCTCCACTCGACCCATTTCCCCACGGACACAGGAATCGATGCAGATACAATGCCGAAGAGGCGAAAGAGGTATTCAATATTCATACGGACCGCTTAATCTAAGCGGACCAGTCTAGACGGCTTCATGTTCTAGAAACGTCTCCACTATATACTTTTTTTCTTAATAAATATTTAGTACACATTTTTACACAACCTTCTGTAGTCCAAAACTAAGCAACGCTTGTACTATTGGTGATAAATAACCGATAAAAATACTTAAACATATTTTTCTTGTGTAAATGAATATAAATTTTAAATATTTAAACACCCAGACTATGGAACAACACTATGTTCATCACACAAATTTTTTCCAGTGGTAGGGATCGAACCCATACCCTCTGGCGCAAGAGGCAAGTTATCCCACTACGCCAACCGGGTCGTCCTATATACTGCATCGGTCATGATATACAACCTCTTTAGCATAACAAATCGAAGTTAAAAATAATTTAAAATTGGAAAATAAATATTTTGCTTTTCAAAAAGATTTTGCCTTCTTCTTTGCTTTCTCAGCATGCCGCCCATCAGGTGCTGTAGAAGTCCATTCGAGGCGGTAGTCACCTAACATCAGGTTAATTATCAACTCGCTTGTACACATTTCACATAAAAACAATGTACAGTCGGTTTAATCAGAGAAAACCAACATATTTTAAGATATGTGAAGTCTGCCAATCCGCAGCGGAACTTGTGGTGACATTTGCCCAGCACTGAGATTTGTATAGGCAGTTATTTAACTTTTTTAATTACAGTTCTGCAGTTAAAAGTTTCTGCGGCGTGTTCCAAAGTCTGTTACTGGCTGGTACTGATTGTACATTTGTTTTTGACCTGTAACCTTCTGACCTGACTTAGTTGTTACGAACGATGTAATTGTGTTTATTTAGATAAGAACAGAAGAAGTGACGTATTTGTTTGGGCTTGTTTTAAGGGAAGAAACACTTTTATTTAGTAACATATACCGTTTGTTTTTGGGGTTCCGTACCCAAAGGGTCAAACGGTACCCTATTACTAAGACTCTGTCTGTCTGTCTGTCTGTCTGTCTGTCTGTCTGTCCGTCTGTCACCAAGCTGTATCTCATGAACCGTGATAGTTAGACAGCTGACATTTTCAAAGATGATATGTTTCCGTTGCCAGTATAACAACAAATACTAAAAAAAAACAGAATAAAAACTATTGAAGTGGTGCTCGCATAAAACAGACATGATTTTTTTATAGATAATGGTACGGAACCCTTCGTGCGCGAGCCCAACTCGCACTTGTTTTAGTTTTTTTTAGTACAGTCTTAAACTCGTAAAAAGGAAATAAACTGTCATTATAATTCATCGTGGCTTTGAACTACCATAAGCAATGAAAATTTTACCTCAGATTTGATTTAGGAATAGCACGTGTGAACACCCGGGGCATTGCACACCATTTCTTATTTTACAAAGTTTTATTGGTAATGTTTGGTAATGGTAAAATGTTTTGTCGTTTCAGTTATAAGTTTTTTTTTTTCATCGAATCTGCGAAGTTGTCGAAATAATATATAAAATTCTCGTGTCACGGTGTTTGCGATTGAACTCCTCCGAAACGGCTCCACCGATTTTCGTGAGATTTTGTGTGCATATCGGCCAGAGTGGAGAATCGGACAACATCTATTTATCATCCCCCTAAATGTTAAGGGTGATCCACCCCAAACATTTTTTAATTTATATGGCAAAACAACGTTTGCCGGGTCAGCGAGTGAGATATATAGTATTCGAACTTTACTCGACACTCGCTTAATTGTCTGTCTGTTTGTTTGTCCGCAGGCGGTTCCGATAGCAACAAGGGCAAGAGCAAGAAGTGGCGCAAGATCCTGCAGTTTCCACACATATCGCAATGCTTAGATATAAAAACGAAAATAGGTAAGTGACAACACCCTTCGTGTTAATCACAAAGACTTAAAGTAAGGCATTTATTCTGTCTGTTCCGTGATTTCTCTGGGATGCCATCTTCAGATCCGGTTTACCTTATCATGGTACCCTTGGGATATCTCCTATCCGACAAAAAAAGTATCATCAAAATCGTCGCTCATAAATGACCAAGTTATCCGCGAATACACATAAAAAAATAAAAATATATACGTTAGAATTGAGGAACCCCCTTCTTTTTTGAAGTCGGTTAAAAATGAATACAGAGCGAGATATTCGGTTTTGTTTTTCGTTAGTAAATAATTGACTCGTTGCTTCTTTTAAATTAAATCGTTTCGGAAAAAACATTTCGGAATCGCTCACCCTTGTAATTATGACTTAATTGACATTTAATTATCTCATTTACGAAGTTTGATCTCAAAGACACATTAATAAGACTGACACGCGCGTCGTAAACGAATTTTGACAGTTAAGGCGCTAATTTAAGTCTCCGAGTAGGTACGGTGTTTCATTTCAATAATTCATTCTAACTTGTTGAAATTACGATAAACTAAGACATATCTCGACACCTCATGATCGATGTGATCGATAGAATCTAGAGAGACGAAATAAGTCTGTACGAAATATTCTGTGCATGTAACTTTAATTACAAATATATCAAAGTAAAAGTAAAGTAAAAGTTGCCCAGCAGTGGGGCCTCCTTCCTGCAGGGGATATAAGCACAGTCCACTCGACTCGGCTGCGTATTGGCGATCTTCACATATCTACGAAATATTTTTTTTTGTTATAATGTCGTAAAAAAGTAACAAAAGTAAAAGAAAAACATCACGTGCTCAGCGATGAAGGAAACATCTCGAGGAAAACTGCATATTTTCGAAATAATAACGAAAAAAAAAATTTCGAAGATGTGTGTAGTCCGCCTATCTGCAGTGGGGCTATGCCCTGATACCCTCTCTAATGAGGAGGCCTCTGCCTTCCAGTGTGACATTTAAAGGCTGTTACTATACTTTATTTTTAAAAGACGAAAACCTTTTCGAATTGTTGCTAAGACAAGCTATCACTTTGCATACAGTCTATTAAAGTAATCGACGCCTTGGTGTGTTTACTCAAATATGTTTTTCTCATTGTTTCAATAAAATAAGTGCGGGACCGTGGAGCAACTGTCAATTGAAGTCTCATCTGAAACTGAAGTCTCATCATTAGAGATTGTTTTTTTAGCTAGATAATTGATCCACTGTATGAGACGATGGTCACAGTATCGCCAACTATGACAATGTTTCGCTGTCAACTTGACTAAAGGCCGCCATTATATTATTTGATATACAGATAGCTTTTGTTACCACCGATAGGTATTTGACATTAGGTCCATAATACTTACGTCAAAATTCTATCTCCAGTGACAAAATCTATTTGAGATCGATATTGAAACCGGCCGTTAGGAGTTATCGTGTCTCACTTGTGCCAAAATGTAATCCGTTGCTTCTCTCTTTTGGATCATTTGTGTCTATTATTTCTTGCTGTCACCTTCAGTGTTATAAACTTTGTCTTTGCACATTGTATATTTGAGTTTAGTGGTATGTGTCACATTGAAGTTTATATGTGTCATAATAAATGGTATATTATCTTTACCATCAGCGTGCAAAAGTCAAGTAAAAATCAATTTATTTCACTTGGACCTAAATATGTACATACGAGTATGTCATGCCGGTTCTACACGTTGCGAATTTGTTTACGGTCCTTACTTGCCCCGAGCATGGATGCTGTAAAGCATCTGAGGAATTTTGCGTAGCGTAGTGGTCGTAGGTCGATTCCCACACGAGACAACTATTTGCTTTGCACATAGATCATTGTTTCGAATCTGGGCGTTTGTCCATGTGAAATTAATGTATGCAAAACGTCCTCACAACACACGTTAGTGTTATGGTATAGTAAGGACAATGTTTTCGAAGGGTCTTCCACACAAAATGACAAAAACAACTTCAGCACCAATAGACGGGTGGTCTATTTTAAAACAATTTTAAAGCGACGATACTCCTAAAATCGTTCTATCACTTACACGTGTTTCGAGATCTGACTAACTTGAGCAAATACATAAACAGTAATTATTCCTCCCGTTATAAATTTACAAAAAAAATTGAAATGTGAAAAATGAAAATTTTTAAATTGTTGTAACTTCTTGAATGGGTAAATATTTTTGTGAATTATAGTTTGTAATGTGATTGTTGTATGCTGTGAAGTTTCCGAATAAAACGAAAAAAAATCCGCCATCAATCAACCTAGCGTTCACCGCACAGATTGTGTCAACGACGCGACCTCTCGCGGTCGCAGGCGGACCTGCGGTTTCGCGTTCTGCCACCAGAAGGGGACGATTCCCGCGTCCGTTTCCTGCACGCCGGAAGTGACGAGTTTCCCTCGCTTTGCTACGTTTCTTAAGCGCGCTCCATTCTTTATTCGGGCGGTGGTTGAAATCGAAATTCATGTATCTAGTGTCAATGCTATAGTTCCTTGTATACTGGCGGTAAACTACCTGTCGCATTTGTCATTAATAGCCGTGAAAGCTCTCGGAAGATTTGCCGTTTCAGCTCAGTGGCTAGAGCGTCGGGCGCGTAACCCCGAGGACAGGTTTATACCCTCGCAGCGGCTAAAAATTTTAATTTTTCTACAAATTTTGACTTGCTACGTGCTCTCAAAGTTTTCCTTTTAAATTGAAAAGCGGAGAATTGGTCGTTTTCAGTAGTCCTAAACCGAGTAAATGTCTACACTCCAGTTTTTGGGGTTCTTCAAAAGATACCTTGGTTAGGCGGTGCGCTCACCTTCTAGAACTTTCTGTGTTTCCATGTTGTGAAGCTATCTCTTACGGAAAGCGTCCCTTGAGTGAATTTAACTTTCGTTTTCCAAGCTTCCCTTCACTTGAGACATAATTATATGAATACTAGCTTTTCGCCCGCGGCTTCACTCGCGTTGAAGTCCTTAAATAAATAACTTTCTTTAACCTTTCAACCATTTACAACCCTTTTTTCCAATTAAAAAATAGCCTGTGTCGTTTCTCGGGCTCTATATTATCTGTGTACCAAATATCATTTAAATCGGTTCAGTAGTTTTGGCGTTAAATCGAGACAGACAGACAGAGTTACTTTCGCATTTATAATATTTGTATGGATTGTTTTAGCTAAGCGCAAATGCTCTCCCTGAGTGTAAAAATATTTCGGCTTCGAACCGGTATCCGGTCTGCGGGCAGACCGCTGCGACGCGACCCACGCTGATAATGCGCATGAGGCAGGATGGGCAACGCGGGGCTCTAGAACCTTCTTGTATGCATAATTCTCTATTATTAAACCATTAAAAACGCATCAACCTGACATGCCAATTGGCCTAGTTGTAAAATCATCAAGTTCGAACGTTTGTTTCAATGTTAAACGGCCCATTAATTTTAATCTGCGCGCACTACAACTCGCCTGTCAATTTTTTGTTTATGCGCGAATATTATACATTTTAAAACTACTTCACGGATTTTATCGCGTTTAATTATATATTGCCAACCTCTCAAACCCTTTCCAGCGTTCGTAGTTACGGTCAGACTGTCTTTAACTTTTAATAAAGTGGGCCCTGGGTACCTCACTCAAGAACTCGAACGAAACGCAGAATAACACTTGCACTTTTTTTTTTTTATTTATTTAATCCAGTAATAAAGTACAATAACATAAATTATTCTCTGCCAAACTGTGATGCAGTTTGTCGGCAGCAGTTCTCGTGAATAGTTACATCGATGTACTTCAACCTTACTAATATGACACCTATGTATAATATGTACCTATATATCATCTAAATACAATTTCTTAATTATAAGTACCTATAATATATAAGTTTATCAATTTATAGTGTGTGTGTGTTTGTTTGTGCGTGTATGTACGTGTGTGTGTACTTGTGTCTGACACTACAGAGTTGACTAATTACGGACATAGGGATAGGTTCCGCCGCCTTCTGTGAGGTCGCGGTACTACCCCGGACGGACCAGTCCGTTCGTGCAACAGCGTGCCGTTGTGTGGCCCCACCACAGTTAAGTTCGTTCGTATCATTAGTGTTGCGAAACTAGACACGAAAATAGTTAGACGATAATGAAGCTAGCTATCGCAATTGTGACCGTTACACAATAATAAATGCCAGATAAAAACTCTCGCCTCAACGTGTTTCGGCGCCGCTCTCGATACGCCGAGTTTCTAAAGGTTGTTGTTATCATGCGAGTCGTGCTTTGACGAAAGCTTTTTATTAACGCTCTCCGTATGAAGCGAATTTATTTAAGGCAACATTGGACAAGTAAATTAAAAAAATAATTATGTTTGTACTAATGTTCGCACGTAAAAAGTTCGGTTTAAACAAAAGATCATTACATAGTTCACTTAGATGAGAAATTTAACTAAATTATTTACAATAAAAGAAAGAGAGAGAAGTCATAAACAAAAGGATCAGTTATTAATTAAGTACGTCATCAAAATATTTTAAAGGCATCAATGGATACAGATTCTTTTACATTTTTTGTTAATTTATTACATAGTTGAGCTCCCTCATACTGTGTATTTCCTTACATGGTTCATCATGTCGCTCTTATTTAGATTCAACACTACAATTATCCCCTCGCGATCACCCTTGAAACTTTGTTGAAGTAATGCCAATGTAGCCCACCCAAATTGCGAAAACGCGCGCCCTCTAAACTAATCCAGCTGCGTACCGGTTACACGCTTTAGAAAGTAACATCGTTCGTATAACCCCGGGTTGCGAAAGTTCAGAGAGCTTACAACGTAGACGCCGGCGGCTGCCTTTTAGGGTTCCGTACCCAAAGGGTAAAACTATGATTATGACTTCGGTGTCTTGTCTGTCTGTCACCAGGCTGTATCACACGAACCGTGATAGTTAGACAGTTGAAATGTTCACCGATGATGTATTTATAACAAGATATACTAAAAAAAAACTGAATAAAAATATTTAAGTGTGGCTCA